GATAAACAATTAGTCTTTGTCACCGCATGGCTCAGTAATGAAGTTCAATGAAAAGCGACACTTTTAACGCCTTCAACAAAAGCAAACATAATCATTTGATGAAGCCCTAGGTAATTTACCATGCTCAAAAGAATGAAGCGGCTATCAATTACACTTATTAGGACATTCATGAGTTAGTTTGATTAATTACTTACGTCATTTATCAGCCCACCCAAGCACATTGACATTAATCCACTGGTTTACGTATACTTACACTGGGCGACGTCCAGTAGAGTGCTCTCGAGACGGGACTGTCGGGCGAATACTCAATGTCCAGTACGCGACTGTAGTACCCGGCCATATCACCGCCAGGGGTACCAGTACCGGTACACCACGGAAACACAGCACGGCCGCGGTACCAAGCCGTACACACACTGCCTATATCCAACTAACGGCCCGTGTCACCGAGGAATCCACTCCAATGCGTCTAATCACACCAGCTTCACACAGTTTGCACACCGCACAGTACACCGCACGGCCCGGCAGTCCACCGATTGAGCTCACTTCACTCGTCGATCGGACTTCACACCCCCAAATCACAGTCCACTGTGGCGATCCTCAGCGGAGCCCCGTCTCTCGAGCCACTATCAGTATCTGTCTCTACGGAAGCACCGCACCGCCGCGCCGAGCCGCCAGCCGGACGGAGGGAGGGATTCGGTATCAGCTGACTGGCCGCCGCTGCACGTGCCGAGGGTCAGGAGGTCAAACCGCCCGAGGGTATGGCTAACCGCCGGCCAGTGCTCACCCCTGACCTTGGGTCACGGAGGGGTTGAGCAGGGGATAGGGAGAACACAGGGGCACAGCGACCGGATACGAAGGCACAAAAAGGGCTCGAAATGTCACGAAAGGAATTGAATGCAAAATGAATTCAAATAATGGAATGGGAAGGAGAGGAATGGACCCGAAATGGATGCTGAATCAACACAGAAGAACACGGACACGAGTGACCCACAGCCGATTCGCCCATCCAGCTGATTCACGGAGACAGAATGCCACGGCTGACACGCAGCTCCCAAGCTCGCCCCCGGCTGCTCCACGACAGACGGCTGGTTCAAACGGCGGCCTGTCGCCTCAGTCTCGAGCTGAAGGTCGGATTAATATGTGACCGACCTGAGGAGCTCACAAGTTCACTGATCAGCTGACTCCGTCTCAACATCCGGGACGCTGATTCGACAGACTCGGAATCAGCTCAGACGAGTCAGGACTCGGGGCCGACTCCGACTGACTCGCGACTGATGTCCTGACTCGGACGGATGAACCCTGACCCGTGCGGGGTGGAACTGGGGCACTGACTAACGTCGAGTCAAGTGCGCCTCGCCGAGGCATCTGGTCCGACTCAGAGGCGGTCACAGATACACACAGCGGTGACGTGAACTGTCACACTCCGAGTAAAGTTCACATCTAGCAGACATAGCAAATCAGTTTTAGTATCATATGACCTTTCCTCGTAAAATATAAATTAGCAAAATTGATATATTAATATTGATATTTCGATCACAGATCTTCGTCGGAATTGTTAACAAAAGACGTTAACAAAGACAAATAATAGCAAATCATTGGTCTTAGACGGGTTATAACAGACACAAGAGTGCGATACAGTAAAATCTAATGTGTTTCTTTGTGTTTTATCGCAGCCTTATTCGTCCCGGTAGTTCTCAAGTTCAGAAAAAAACTTCACTCAGAGCATCACCCCAACGAAGGAAACATTTCGTTGGAAATGCTTGGCTGTGATAAGAGGACGTTCACAGTCATACTTCCGGTGCTCTATCTACGACCTCATGAGATCCCGCATTTGTGACGTCACCAGCCTACAAGGGCTGCCCCATGTTATGACTGGGCTGTCAGAGCCAATCAACATGCGGCGGTTGCAGGTCAGGGGTCAGACGGGCAGAGAGGGGAAGGAAGGGGAGGGGAGAGGGGCTACTGGTTAGTGGTTACCGAATGTGTGCCTATGGTGAGTTAGCAGACAGTGACGAAGGGTCAATACACTCGATCCCCGCGACCTTGGCTAGCTACGGTCTGGGAAGCGCGTTTCGTTTGTAGGTATTTACACACGCACGGACATATCGTCTGCTCGAATATCAGTGACATTCCTGCTGTATGAGCCATGAGGTATCGGAAACGAATTGAAGTGGCGATAAGAAAAATAAGTCTAACAATGTGGCGATTGCAGAATATTCCGCTAAGAGCACGGTTCGTCGGAAGGTCATCTCAGGCTCAAAAGAAACGGTATATACCATTCGAAAGCTGAGGGTGAGCTGAATCCAAAAAATGTAATTTTATCAAAATCGATCGATGGCCTTTTTTGAAAATTGCGTTTTTGTAAAAACTTTATAATTTTTTATTCAACGGGCTGTCCCGGACGTTATTGAAAACATAAACATGTATTTTTGAGTTCAAGTGAAAGCTGAACGCCAAAAGAACAATATTTAGCGAAACAATATTTCCACACATTAATATGCGTCTCCCACAGTCGACAATAAGGCGCAATCACACAGCTCAGTGTCACGATGGACCAAAGTCGGCCACACAGAAGCGTGAAATGACACTTATCGACTCGCAGACCCGTCGCTCTCGGCCCGCCTGACCGGCCACAGAAAGAACGTTCGGCTCTCGTTCTACTAAACAAATGTCATATTTGTCAGTTTAACTGTCCACATCGCTATTAAAGTTACGCAGGATACCTGTGAAGAAAATTCATTGTTCTGCTTGATTTACAACATGCTTTAATTTACATTTTTCTTATGCATGTTTTGTTCCATCCAGCTGCGCTCAGTGCCCGCGCAGGGGAAGTGAGCGGGGTTTCACTGTCAGAGGCTGTACTAGTGACAGCTGCTCGGCCGTGCGACCGGTCAAAGGTTACCCTGCCCCACCGGGCGCTACCCCCACTCCACCTGAGCTGAGGCCGGTGTAGCCTCTGACATTTCAGCGCGGCCAATTTTCCTTATATGGGCATGATACCAAGCTCAATTGAGCAAAGTGGACATGAACAAATGCAAATTAATGCATGATGTGAAGATGACAGAGCATTGAATCTTCTGCTCATGCATCCTGAATAACTCAAGTACCGACTTGAATCGTTAAACTAACAAACATGACACCCGTTTAGTAGAACGACAGCCGAACCTCCTTGCCGTGGCCGGTCAGGCGGGCCGAGAGCGCCGGGTCTGCGAGTCGATAAGTGTCATTTCACGCTTCTGTGTGGCCGACTTTGGTCCATCGTGACACTGAACTGTGTGATTGCGCCTTATTGTCGACTGTGGGAGACGCATATTAATGTGTGGAAATATTGTTTCGCTAAATATTGTTCTTTTGGTGTTCAGCTTTCACTGGAACTCAAAAATGCATGCTTATGTTTTCAAGAATGTCCGGTACAGCCCGTTGAATAAAAAATTATAAAGTTTTTACAAAAACGCAATTTTCAAAAAAGGCCATCGATCGATTTTGATAAAAATTACATTTTTGGATTCAGCTCAACGTCAGCTTTCGAATGGTATATATCGTTTCTTTTGAGCCTGAGATGACCTTCCGACGAACCGTGAGAGAGCACGCAACTCATTACACAACACACATGCCTTTCAGTTGAGTCAGTTGCATCTTCCCGCTGGCCAAGAAACAATTGAAATAAAATGCTTGCAATTAGCGATATAAAATCATAATTATCACTGAAGGAGGGCGTCCCAGGTACCGGCATTAGATAATTGGAGACCTCATTTTTCACCAGCACGGCTAGCTTTCATTTGGGTAAAGTGTAATAAAAAGTGAAATGCAGCGGACCAGTAAAAGCCGGCGAAGTTATTGGGTAATTGGAGTGCTAGAGAATCGTTGAACGGGAGTTGTATATTGGGGTGAAATTTTGTGAGGCGCCGACTATACACGGAAGAAGTAGTGCAAGTGTAGTATGAAAAATGGAGCCCGAATGGCTCAGCCAACAGCTTCCTGATGGCCTTTTGGCTACTTACGAGTGGTAGCCACGCACCACCGCTAATCGAAGGCAGGGTCACTCGGGACCGTTTTAATAGCACCGGTTTTATGTCACACTCGCACTATGCCGCGATTCCAAAGAGTTCAATCTTTCAAACGACTTTTATCAATCCTTAGCAGTAAATCATAGATATGTAGAGTCAATCTCATAATGGGAAAGCTCGCACCGTGTTACTCATCAACAGGGGAACCTTCAACTGTGTCACGTGGCCATGGTCGCTCTGTTCAATAGATAGTCTCAAAACTCACCGAATTAGAGCAGGCACTCAGAACAGCACTTCAAACACCTACCAATATCCTTACATCCCTCGCCTCAGTAAAGATAAGGCTGCCATACTGTGGGGATCAAATCTGAACATTGTGGGTGCATGCAGACTTCAATTTATCATCTTGCGAGATGTGTTTAGGTTAAACAGAATGTCAGCTATGACTGGAATGATGTCGTTCTCAAACCATGAACTCAAGTTTGAAGTTAATGTTTGAAAGTAACTTTGTATTTCTTGTCATTTATGAACTTGTGCAGATCTAGCGAAGGAAATATCAACAACGTCGACTCTTCTAGTCAACAGCAAGGACCACTGGCAATTGATCGACACCGCTATCATCGCAACCAACCAAGGAGCCTTCAATACTTGCAGTCCACTGACACCAGCCATAACTCCCCAGAACCATTCGCCCGTGCCCTAAAACAGTAAAACGGAGGTCTCTGTCCACCTTTCCAAGTACTGCACCCTACCAGCACCGTCCTATCGACGTTTTGACGCAGTCGGCGACACAGCGACGGCCGTTTAACTGCGCCGCCGCCTGGTCGTCACCAAAGGGGTCGCGAAGGCAGGTGCAAGACCTGGCCGGTCACCTGGTTCTGACAAGACTGTCTAAGCATCATGTGATTGAGGGTGAAAACTGAGCACAGCTGGGGAACTGTAGCCCGTGAATGGTGGTAAAAGGGGATATTTAGATGGAAGATTGGCGCCTACCTTTCTCTCTTCCTCTCGAACTGATTTCAGGTGATTCTCGATGGCGTCCCAGTCGATCTTAGGGAGAGATGTCTCCAGGTTGTAAACGTCGAATCCGTCTGTGAGAAGGGATCATATGGGTGAACACTCATACACTCATGCAGTAGCTTGCGCTTCAAATCACATCCAAAGCTTCTTGTAGCGATAGCTCTATGATTTACTTTTTTAAATCGATGCATGTTTAGTACCTTGCGAAAAGCTAGTTCGTTCCCGATTTAAGAGTGACTTCAAGACATTAGATGATGAAAGCCATTGTTTAGATCATTTTCATCTAAAGCGACTCACTATATCCATCGGGTGAGCTGGGTCTCTCCTCCTTCACTGGCCCAGCCGGGCACGACTTGCGATACTGTTTCTTCTCCTCCCTATTCCCCGATCTCTCCCTGCGTCTGACCGCGGGACTGGTGCCCGACGCGACTGGCCCGCCATCTACCGGCGCCGCCGGGCGTCCCCCTGGCGGCGGCGCCGGCCTCTCGACCTGCGGAGGGGCCGGGCGGACGGCGGCGGCCGGGGGCGGGGCGGGCCGCGGGGACAACTGGCGGGACACCACCGGTAGCGTGTTGGGACGCGGACGGCGCGGCGACTCGAGACTCATCTTGAGTGAAGTATTCATCATCATCTTCTCCTGCTTGCGCGGCACACCTGCATCGTTACTGAAGTGCACGCGGAGATCACGTCGATCCAGCTCTTCCGCCGTAGTAGAGCGACGGTGATGCTTGGGTGACTTATTCATCACCACCCCTGCATGCCGGCTCGTCTTGACCCTCTCGGACGTCGCCTTAGGCCGTGCGCCATCCTTGTAGACAACCATATTCCCATTGATCTCCCCACTAATCTCAGTGGGTTTCTCGCTCTTCTCAATCTCCGCCTTCTCTATTGCCGGAGAGAGGGGCGATAGGCTGCTGATGGGCGGCGAGAGGCCGGACATAGCCGTCAGGGTGGCCAGCGGCGCCGGTACCGCGTTGGCGTTGCTGTCGTCCTGCTGAGTGCGCATGACCCACGAGGGCACGTGCCGAGAGAGGGCCGGCCGGTCGGCGCCCGTAGTGCCGCGGTGGCGCGGGGACTCCAGCAGCGGGCGCAGATCGAGCGCGTCGGTCATAGGGCGGGCCGCCCGCGGGCTGCCGGCTACGTCCGACGCCGAGTCTGAGGGGAAACATACGGACAATCATGAGGGGAGGAATGAAGAAAGAGAGATCGTTCAATTAAGCGAAGCCGTGCCATTTATTTACGTCCCACACACACGCCTCCATCTTGACTAACATTCAGTAGACCCCATTTTGTCTCCCCTTCACTGTGAAGATAGCATGGCTCTACAACTGTATCACTGACTCTAACAAGCCGTCAGCCTATCCAAATAAAAACGAGTCGTGTACTACGTACGGCACTGGCCGTGCGTGTCGATATCCATTACTGGGGGCGACATCGCTCGTTACGACATACACGTGCATACAAAGGGAGTCAAGCGCACGATATATCATAGCGATAAGCGACGCCAGCTGCGTACAAACTAAATTGAGCAGCTAGTACTCCTGCTTCTGTCAGTGTGTCGACAGTAATTCAATGGCAAATACCTAAATATTATTAGGCTTATAATTGATGGGTGCTATAGATAAGCCGGTTCAAGCATGACTGTAAAAATGGACTGGCAGATCCAGTGTTATAAAACGATCAAAAAGAAAAGAATACCACATAATCTTTTACACTAGAAACGTATTTGACTTACATACCTAAATCTGACGAATCTGAGTCTGAGAATTCGTCTTCACTGGAGCAGATTGTCATCGGTTCCAGGTCGTCCCCTGCCGAGTCCAGACGTCGGTAGCCCACCAGCAGAGAAGCCTCCGACTCGTAACTCTTCATACACCTGCCGACATAAAGCATAGGTGATGTTACGTGTGTCGCAAGGGTTGCAAGGGCGACTTTTCAAACGGTGTTCATATGCTAACTTACGGCTGAACATATTATGTTTAAATTTTAAAACATTATGCAGTCGAATACCTACTTCCAATCGCCTTGTAACTTGTAAGGTGGACGTTAAAACGAACGAAACGTGATAGAGACGTCAACTAACGGATGCCGAAAATAAAGAGGTGCACGTAGTTTCTCCGATGCCATCAAAAGGCCAATCGAAAAAAAAACATTTCCTGCAATGTATACCTATTACCTACTCTCTAAGTAGCAATCCAACTCCATCTATCCAACACCCTACGTGCCCTATCGGGTGCCGATTCCGAGGGAGACCGACTTTAGATAGCACATAAGCACACCCAGACGGGACCCACTAGAGCCTCTATCACGCGATCGGTCCCACATCAGCTGCACACACACACACACCGACCCGGCCAGGTCGTGTCAGGGGCCACGCAGCGACTTCGCAGGGGTGCACTAATACCAGTCTATTAATGGGGCCAGCTGAGGGGATCGGCGCCACCGGAATGTACCAGTAATTAGGGCATGGCCCACGAAACTCGGCCGATGTGTCACGCAACACACGACTGAGGTGGGGTTCCGCGAGGTGCAGCTTAAGAGGTCGCTTGAGAGACTGACTCGGTAAGTTATTTAATTGGTTTCGGGGTAAAAGTTAAAACAGGACAGGCATAGATTGTGGCATGAATAAATAAGATGAAAAGTGCTGCATTTGTAGTCCGCACCAATGCAATGAGCCCTTGCATCGTGAAAAGTTTATTGGTTACATTTCTCATCCAGCTGTACAAAGCGTTGAAGCCTACCTGTAAAATTCATGGAAGAGAATGCAGGGCCGGGCTTCCAATTAATAATCCTTCCTCGGTTAATTTCTTATAGATCGGTCGCATTAGTCTTATGGCCATCACAGGAACAAACTGCCTCGTTACAATGCTCAACTAACGGTAATACCCTGAGGCTTCTTGACTGATGTTCTATATACCCTGCCTTCAACTGACACTCCCACCTGCCCCAGTGACGTCATCAATCAAACGATCAAGCACATCACAAATGAAGAGATCAAGTCTGGTCTAGGGATCAGTCGCAGCCGGCTGTGCCCCAGTCGCGGCCCCCGGTTAGGAATCGGCCGGCCCGCCGCCCCCTCCCCCCCCTCTCCCCGCCACTGATCAATGTCGGCTCCCCCGCGGCAAGCCGTGTCAGGGGGACCGCCCGGGGCGTTGCAAGGGTCCGAAAGGGCAAAGGTTAGCGGCGAGGAGCCGGTCCACTTACGGCATACTGTCCATGGTGGCAGCTCGGTCCTGGCTCGGAACCTGTCGGACACAGAAACGGGCCGGCGTCAGGAGAGCTCAACACACGCGAGGGATAGTGGTGTCATATAGTGGGGAATGCATGCTACTTGAGCCAAAATTAGACGTGCAAAATTAGACGTCTTTACACGCAGGTGTAAGCAAGCGATCGGTATGAGTACAAAAGATAATATGGCAGTGTCCATTACACGAATGATACAGCAATGGAGCATCCAGTCCAGTTTATTTCATTAAACAATGCACTTCCCAAAGCGGGTCAGTGAAAACGGCAACGCAACAACCGCATTGACAACCTTTCACATTCACCCAGATAAAAGGCCCACGAACAAAGTGCACCTTCGGAGGTGCACCTCTTAGCGAACAGCCTACGCCTCTGTCCCCCTTCCTTCATCTCCATCCTCCCCATCCACTCTGTCCACTATCAGGACGGCGGCACGTCGTCCGCGTGTCGCCTACAGAGCCCATCCGGCGCATCGGAAAGACGGTTAGGCACCGGTTAGGCACCAAACCAGATTAACCCGCGCCCAGCTGGGGGTCCTGGATTTCCACGCCCTGCTGGGGGGGGGGTGTTTGAACACCCCCCCCTTCTAACTCGGCTCCTGGGCCACGTAGCGATACGCGGAAGGCGGCGTTCGAAAGAGCGTCAAAAATAATGAGGAAATCACTTCGGTCAATTTTTTGGTCAGGTCAAAGGTCAGGTCACCAGAGGTCATTGAAGGCAAAATTTCGCCGATTTCCAGGTCGAATGTCGACAATTTCCAAGAAGCCAACGCATAACTCGGGAACCAATAGAGCTACAGCGCCGCGAAAAAGCGCATTCGATAGCCCTATTAACGCCCTTTCTGAGTAATTTTCTCAGATTTGACCTAACGTCAACGGTTTTGCCTGCAGGGGGCAAAAACGGCAAAAATAGCCGATTTTTTCGGAAACAGTTTTTCTGCAATAACTTTTGACCCAAGCCTTGTACGAGCTTACTTTTACCGGCATCGTGTTCCTCTCGTCAAGACGCATCGAATGAGCTATAACTTGACCTTGAAAGGTCAACTTGAAAATTTGACCTCAGGTCAAGGTCATGACCTGACCGGAAAGGGTCATGTTGCATATCAGTCGATCCGTATCGTCGAGCTGAACACATCTAAGGCGTTTTCATCGCTCTAGCATGCCTCTATCAAAAGTTATTTGCGAAAAACTGTTAGATACCATTCGTGACCTAAGATGACCTCAGGGCATAAACAGGGGTCACGGACACCATTTTCATGTTCAGTGTGTCTAAACCACTTGTAATTCAGTGTTTGGGAGTGTTTATAATGTCTTTCGTCCAAAAGAGGCGCATTTCAATTTTCTCCCATTGACTTATAATGGGGAGGTCGCAAAATTGACCTGACCTTAGGTCATCGATATCAAAATTCTGAGATATACATTTTGTACATGCTATTGCTCTTAGCAATCGCTGAAAGTTTCAAAGGGATCGGTCACTCGGTGTAGCTATGACAGACATTGAAACTTTTTATGAGGTGAGGTCACTTCAAGTGACCTGGTGACCTGACCTTGAATGACCTTGGTCTGAAATTTTCACAACATGTGTAGAATTGATGTATGATAAGGTGTACCAAAAACGGCGGCGCTCCGCGCCGCCGTTTTTGAGATATTCGCGAAAAACCACAAGGGGGGGTGTTCAAACACCCCCCCCCCCCAGCAGGGCGCGGGTTAATCCGCTCACAACACCGGATGGGATGCCCCAGGGAAGTGGTCCCCGGGGCCGGAACTGCGTGCCGCTCGGCCCCATACGCTCCGGTCAATGTGCCGTCAGACGGCCTATCCACGACCGTGCCACGGGCCGGCCACAAAGGGATGGAGTATATTTAGCCGAGACCGTCTCACGACAAAGGATGAAAGGAGGAGTGTTCCAGGGGCTTATCTGGGTGTAATGGGCGGACATGTTCCCTGACAAGGAGAAAGTTTGCGTGATATGCACTGCAGTGCTGCTTATGCTGGCCGCATGATTATTATGCAATTGAATTATGCGTTGCAATGTATGTATACGTACTAGTTGCATAGCTAAATGCAAACTGCAAAGGAGATAATAAAGTAGCGCGCCTCCTCCTTTCAGAGCGGACACCGTTGTATCACTTTCCATCCTCCTAGGAAAGTCAAATCCTATTCCTTCCAATCCCCTGATCAGGAGTGGACGGCCACTTTCATCCAACGTGGTAGCTCCTCAGGAGGAGGCGGTGGGGTGACCGTTTGCGGGGCTGGTTGGCCTGTCCAGTAACTCAGCCCCGGAGGACCACCACAGGGTGGCTGTCGGCGCCCCCTCCTTATTCCTATATCATCCTCTCGGCTCTGAAGACGTCTTGTCAGATCGAAAGGTCCTGACCCTACAAAACAAGCTGCTTGCCAGCAAAATGTTCTCCAGACAACAGTGCGCGTCTAAAAACTGAAATGCATCGAAAGGTAAAACATTCGTTTCACTAATGAGTATACCTACCGGGGCATTCCACTAATATACCTACTTTTATTCGGGGCTTACACATCGACAAAATTTCCCCAATCTAAAATATCACGTCAATTCACATTACAAAGCGGCTATACATAAGCCGTGAGAAACACCGACTAGTTTCACTGAACTGTCAGCTGTCATTTGGAGCTATGACCACAAAGGAAATGCGAGTGGCGAGCTGGTTCGATCGGCCAGCTGCCACACAATGGGACCACTCCGAGAGAAGCAGGGTGAGACGGATTCTGAGAACAGAAATGTTCTCTGAAATCTCTGAAATGTGGCCATACAAACATCCCGGCTAGGGGGAAGGGAGGGAGGGAGACCGGAGGGGAGGAGCAGAAGGGACACTCGGTGTGCTGATTGCCGGGTTTTCAAAGCCCGGCATGTTGGTCGTCTTGATACCACACCGGCCAATCTGTCGAAATGTAATAAGATGTGGTGCCTCCGAAGTGCGTAGTTCTCTGTTGATTTCGATATTAGAGATGAAGCCTGGCGCCCAAACTCTATCTATGTCAAATCCGATCGCATTCCCTATGTATTATTTGTTTATAATGGCCCACTCGTACGTCACCATTGACACCAATGAAGGTTCAAAAGACTGGATGAGCAGCGAAAGCCCAAAACTTTTCCGAGGCATACAGCTCCAACAATAGCCTTCAAATAAACACCCCTGGGACATGGCAGAGTCCCATGCCGTGCCACCAGCGTTCCTAGCGTAATGACACTGTGCCATGAACTGGTGAGTCGTGCTGCTCTCAGGGGAAGTGGGGATCTGTAGGACTGACATACGGTGACATGACACAGCGGACAGAGTCCAGGCACGAGCCGGACCGAGTCTCCCGTGTGTCCACCGCCGGCTCCGCCGTGCCATGTTCCATTATTTAGTGTCTGGCTCAGTGTCATATGCCCTGGGGAGACGGTGAAGGGTTCTGACTATGTACTATATCGTACGGGGCAGAACACCGTGTTCTGGCTAAGGATATTAGGAGAACACCGGGCCCTGAGGCTGGAAATAAGAGATTGAGTAGCTCGGTATGCCGCCTCATGTCTGTCTGGCACAGGGCCCGCCAGCAACTCTATCGGGAAAACCACACTTCCAATCCAACGATCGAGAGCCGGAAACAATGAACAACCGGACATGTGGGCTGCGGTGGTGCATCTCCTGTTCAAGTATCTCGGCATTTTTGTCTGATTTCTGTTCTCTGTTCAAAATTAATTGAATATACTAATAATTCGGACTCATCTGAGATAAAAAATCTTGTCAAATCCGAACAAGACGGCTTGAACGCCTTACGAGACTTCAGAATAGGACGCATCTAACGATGGCGAGACATCAAAATAGGACGCTTCTAATACTTGTCAGGAATGCTCTTCATTCAAGGCTTTCTAAATTCTGACTAACTCCTTGTCAGGTCCACCTGAATCTGATGCCAAGTTCTGAAAACGGACCACCGTTAACCAAAAACAATTTACATGACTTCTTTATCAGCCCGTCGTTCTCAGAATGCCTGAACAGCCAAGTTGAGACTTTAAGCTGAACGTTTCACGGCACAACTAAGAGGCGAGTTCCGACACGATGTACTCAAGCAGACTCGACCATGGCGTATGGGACGATCAGGAGAATGGCCATGGCAGCAGCACGCTAGCGGCTGAGTGCCGCCTGGGACGGGGTTAATTAACTTATGCCAGATAACTCGGTTAATTAGCAAGTGCGCAGTGCCGGCGCGGCGGAAGAAACTCTTTCCCCATCCTGTCTCATCAGCAAATGGCGTCTCATACCCACTTAGCTCGAAGCCCGGCGACCAGACATTCGCTAGTGTTAAGTGGTTGCAATGTCAATACTTGTTGATGATGTAAAACAAGAGCATATATTCCCTCAGTAACTAAAAGCTCGAGGGCAAAAGCAAACTACTGGCTAAATGCCAATGGCATAACTACAGGTTACGTAAAATTTTGTGATACACCGTACAAAATAGGTAAACGCAAAATACCGTATGATTAACGTCTCCACACCACTCGAAACCTGAAGAAAAGAGTGATTTAACCGCATCAGAATGTCATCAATCACAAATAACTCATCAAACGGATCGAGTACCTAAAAGACACATTGACACACCAAAGCATTTATCTCCTTAGCTTTGCTTGCCATCAAACCTCAACCCATCCTCTTTTCTCCTCTCAACTAACCTGCTTCTCTATACAGCCTCACCGGCCGCTCCTTCCCCCGCAGTGGTCACTGTGGTCGCTGCAGCAGCCGCTGCAGGCGCCGGTGTCTTCGGGTCGCGATCAAACAGATAGTTGAAGCAACACGGCGTGCTCAAGGCAAACAGCACCACCAGCATACCGCCCATGAGGCCGATGAAGATGAGGGAGACGGCCAGCAGGTTCATGACTCGGTGCCGGCATCGGTGGTGGTGTCGAGAGACTCGTCGAAAGGGCTGGTGGGCGGCCGAGCGCGGCTAGGTGTGGAAAGCGGTTGAGTTCAGTCTCGGATGGCTGTTGAC